AACATAGTGGATTTACGGACTAATCAAGGTCTCTAAGTTTGAACATACGTTTGCATGTGTTATAAATTATAACACATGCAAACGTATGTTCAAACTTAGAGACCTTGATTAGTCCGTAAATCCACTATGTTAGTTAAATTGTAAAATAATATAGTAACAAGTAAAAGTGTAATGAATGCAACAATTGTAAAACCTAGATAAACGCCACGATAATTTAACCATCATATGATTATAACTTATGATTCATAAGTTACCTCCTACAATCAAAAACATTTACCAACATACAGTACATCTATATAACTAGCACAAACATATAGCGAGGTTATGGACTTAAAATTAGGCTATTTTGTTTTTAAAAAATAATCAACTATTGAATTATGCTCAATCATACTATAGCGGAAAATAAATAGCAAATGTTTCCAAATAGAGTGAATATGTAAGTTTTATAAATTAAATCTACACGGTAAACAAAAATTACAAACATTTCTAGCGTTACGTATGTGTTGTTATAATGTAATAACATGTAGTTATTAAATAAAAAAAGGTTAGCGCACTGGCAGGCAATGGCAATGCCATGTGAGCACTGGCTATACTGTACAGTGTGTAGCTTATACTGCATATAATACCCAACATCACCACCACTACTATTACACAGTCAGTTAGTATTAGTGCACAGTTATGTTTGGTCTGTTTAGTTGTGTAGACACAAGCATACAATACAGTGTTGTCTATATGTTGTTGAATGTTGAATAGTGTGTGTATTCGCTGTGTACAATAAAAAAGTTACATACATCAAACATAATTGATATTACATTGTGTTTTTTATTTTATTATATAGTGAACACGTTATATATAATTGATTTATAGCATCTATCTCTCTCTGGGAGTTCAACGGATACGGTAAATAATATATTGTGTTTACTTATAAAGGGATGTTATATAATAACCAGAATATTCTCAGTTTACAGAATATTCTGTATTTTTGGGATCAGGCAATCGATTGACGAATAATTGTAAGCATTTTATATATGTTTGTATATTATTTTTCTAGATGTATTATTTAATTAATTAAATTTGTGTTTAATTTATGGTGTTTTAACTTAATTAACTTACACGTGTATTACCTATTACACGTGTAACCAAATACATTGTAATATTATAACATTATGAATTTACCAAGTTTAATGTTTGCAACTTTTTTGTAATATTGCTTGTAATATTTACAACTTTGATATAATCAACCTAGGTTTAATTCTAAATACCCCGGACAGGTGACCCATGTCTATTGTTCGTGGTAATAAACATGTAACTTTATGACACTAACCGACCAACATGCTTCTACCTGACCTAATTAAACTCAATTATTCAAGCTACCCAAATATTTATCAAACATAATTGGTGTATGTAATTATTACATAGATATATCATACCATTAAGTAGTGTTACATACGGTATGCTTAAAAATATTTGCCAACCTCATTAATTTACACATTGGATTACATGTACGCTATAGCGTGTGATCACTGGATATACATTATGTGATAAAAACATATAGAATTACATTATATTTAATAAGTTTATTTATTATTTGATATAAATTAGTCCATATTTTTATTAGATTATGGTATGATTTACAGCCAAACTAGCAAGTATCGGTTATACAGCAAATTATTTATCAAATAATGTAATCATTATAGAATTTATTTACATAATATTAGCATACTAAACATGGTTGCATTCTAATAAATGTATATTTATTATCCATAGTTCCAACATGAGCCTATTTAATTTACTGTATACAATTCTATTACATTTATATTGCATTTTACTATACACTTGTTATTTCCAATTAATACCTAATGTGCAACATATAACATACGTGGCTAATTAATATCTATTACAACTTGCCTATTTTGTTAATTAAATGTGTACAGTATGACCATTGCGTAATATAACGTCTGGTATTTCCTGTTCCAGTTTCCTGTAATACATACTGTAGTTATACTTTATATTATAGACATTCATAAAAATAGATTATTAGTATAAGCAATATACAACATACAGTATATAATAAGTGTTATACTAATAAAACATTAGGATAATAATAATAACAACTATTATACAGTATATACATGTATATTAAATACATTATTACATAATGATTTGTATTATGTATGGACAACGGCAGGTCCAGGGTGGTTTTATTGTTATGTAATTTATACTCTAGTTGTGTCTTACTCATATAAAGTGTAATATAGTATAATGTATATTTTTACAATGAGGGGTTTTTAATGAAAACTACTACGATTGTTGCAAAATAAATGATTTTCATTTGGTTAGGTTTGCCGTATTTTTTTCATTGTTTCTATGTATCGTAAATTATTAAATTATATATTAAATTAAAGCTTAATAAACGCTGTTTAAAACAATGTATTACACAAGATACCCCTTAATTAATCTACTATTTAATTTTTGTAAATTGTATATAAATTAAGTTATATAAGTTAAAAAAGAAATTAAGGCTTAATTTTGACCACAATTTAACCAAATCCTACCTAATTCAACATGAATACAATCAGCATAATTATTAGATTTTATTTTACTGTTAGTCATTCGTTTAGACGTTAAAAATCGGCATTAAATTAGTAAATAACTTGCAAATCAATTAAACGCTCGATACTTTTTAATATTAAAAATTATGTTCAATGGAGTTTTAACACATGACAGCTACACCTTATATTTCAAAATCAGGACCGGTCGTGTTTGATTTAGTCCAGCGGCCAATTGAAATCATATTGTTTTAAAATAACTTTTGTATTTTAATATATAGATATATTCAATAAAATTGTATAATTATTTTTGTCTAAAATAATATTTAGAAAAAAGTTATATAACTTTTTAAGAATTCACTTATTTTGCAACAATCGTACAGTATTATATTTATAAAAACATATAAAAATTACAAAAATACAGATGACCATAATTAGTGCAAAGATTATAGTGAATAATAATTTACAAATTATCAAGGTAATACAATAACCACTCAAGTTATAAAATGTTTGAGCCCACTCATATTTTATATAGTAAAGAAATATAATAAAAATATTATGCATAAATAATTTCGCAGAATTATGAGGTTAATATTCTATTTAACTAAGTAGATTTATTTTTATGTAATTTATCTAAGTATTATGTAAATGTTGGTACATTAAGTTAGTGCAAACTATTGATAATATCTGTTAATGAGTGAGTGAGTGAGTGAGAGAGAGAGAGAGAGAGAGAGAATGCATAACATGATAAAATCAGTAGTTTAATTTCGACATAAACTTGTTATGGCTTAAAATATAAATTAGGTTTTACTACATTTAGTACATTTTGCCACATTTCCTTTTCTTAACTTAATGAGGAATACCAAAAATATTTGGCCATGTTAATTCTATGGGTCAATGTTATTTTAATCGATACCAAAATTCGTGTGCCTCTTTTACATTAGACTATTACGTAAAATGATTAAATCTAGATAATTATAATGACGTATAAATAATTAATATGTATCTATTGAAGTTAGGTTGATGTATGGCTAACGTCTAGATTTATTTATAATAATTTAAAAACACATTTCGTATTTCCAAATTGCTTAATTTAAACGATAGCTTATTTCACCATATTTACAATGACAAATCAAATATTATTTGTCCATGTTGTATGACATGGCAAACGATTGTTATTTAAATGGTAAATATCATTATTCTACTCACAATAAGATTTTGAATGGGATAGTGACTTATCAAGATCGTTTAATTAAAAATTATTTGTTTAATTAATACAAGTTGGCAGAAATTTATTTGATGCATCTAGGTAAAATTATATTATTAGTATTTTTAAATTCACATATACCGAATAGGTTTAATGACATTAATAATAATTGAGATCTGATTATTTTAATTGGTTTAAAAATCGTCAGGGTATGGGTATATATTGATGAATTATGCAACATTTATCTGTTTCAATCTTGATCAAAACGTTTTATGGTATTTTTTTATAAAACGTGCTTACGCAATTAAGAAATAGTACATTGAGTGCACTATTGAGTGGTTTATTAAATTAATTATTTTGTACAAACCAGTTGTTTCAAATAAAAAAGACAAATAATTTAGCCGGTCCCAAGGTACTATGCTCGATTATTTGGCTTGGTTATAAATTAATAATTTTTCATCGATGTCATTTGCCACGACTACAAATTTACATTACATTTACATAGATGTGTACTCATTATCATTGACTATATGCGTGGCAAATGTACTCACAATAACTGTGCTTAATTCATTTCATATAGTTAGTTTTTGTATTATTTAACATAGCGCATTAAATATAATTGGCGTTTCCTAAACTAGTTATACTAGTGGTACGATTGTTTTAAACATGTAATTTTAATTTTATATCAGTGCAGTACAGTGTGTGTAGATACACTGTACTAATAAATGAGCATATGCGTTTATGAGTGTACTTTATTTTATATAATACTGTACTATTGCGCGATAGTGCATATGTGTCTGTGAGTTTAAGCATGTTGCATTGGTTATAACATTATCGCCGATGTGCATGCTTTATTATTTGCCCTCATATAATTTAGTATCAATTTTTCCATCTATTTAATTGTTTATTAAGTAATTATTATTTTATTAATATTGTGTGCATTCATTGTACGGAACGGAAACCCATTATTGTTATTAATAACAACAATCATTATTATTAATATCGTTTTATTTTATCATGATTGATTGTATATATAAATAATTTTACCATCTATATAACTTTTGCAGCGCCCCTAACCGTGCATAACCATCCGCGCATACAATACACATACGTGTATTAACATTGTAATAACCATCATATAATAATATCGATTTTTTGTATCACGTTGATAAGACTGAGAGAGTTCACCTATGCTGTTGTGGTTGTTATATAATATGGTTATATAATAACATTATACAGGATACTGTGTACAATTGACAGACTCTCTCATTCAGTTGCCGACCGGTGCGACGAGTGGTAATACATGTGTGTAAAAAGTGAATAGGTTTGCGAAAATTTTGATGCCCCTGTTTCGCGATATTGGGAAATATTTGTGTTTTAATATTTGTTGTTAACAACGGGACAGACAGTCAAACAACGCTAAATTAAATTAACATTTTTAATAATATTAATAATAATAAATGTTTTATTAATTTTGCAACAAAAAGAACAATTTATCATAAAAAACAGTGACATTTATTTAATTGTTTATCGATTTGTTTACTATACTTGTATATATAAATTAAATTTTTATATATTCAGTGTATGACATATAAAAGGATATTTTATTTTACATATTATAAAGAACTTTAATCGTTATAAAACCAGTTTAAACCAATCATCGATCGACGCGTGTATATCACCGATTGTAATAAATATTAAATTACATAAAATAATTAAAATATAATATAAATTTAATTTAAAAATGTCATTAATCTGTACGACAAGTAGTGCTGGCAGTAGTATTGCCAGTAATAGTGGCGATAGTAATATAACTAATAATAATAATATTTTAACTAATAATAATAATAATAATAACCAAGCTCAAAAAACGTCTATTATGGATAAAGACCAAACTAAAGGTAATTTTTACATTTATAAATTATAATTATTGCTTGTATATAAAGTTTTTGTTTATGATTTTACTATGATTAGATTTAATTGCGGTTAATAATTGCATTGTAATTACCTATATAATTAAGCATGATTATTACCATTATTGCAATATAAGCAATTTAGATTTATCTTATTTTAATTGTATTAATTATAATTATATTATTATGTGCATTTGACCATGGTATGTTTAATGCAAAAAAAGAGAATCGATTAATGTAGAAAATATAATAAATAATTATATTTATAAACTAAATTGCAAAGTTCAATTCACTTTTGATCGTTTAATTAGTTTATTAACTGCCATTAAATGTAATTATAATGTTGTTTGTCCGCAATAACACTAATTATAACTATAATTATTGCTAATTAAAAGTTTGTTTTTGTAAAATAAAACTACAAGTTAAATATATTTATAAATTTGATAATAAATACAATGTTCATAACAATTATTAATGTTATTTTATAAATTATAATTATAATTATAATGTCCTACATTAAATATACAGTAATGGAAAAATTTTACCAATATGCATATTATGCTGGTTTTTAAATTAAATATTTCAAAACAATTTTTGCATTAATAATGTAAAAGTATAATTAATTTATTACTCTCTCTCTCTTTTCTTTCTTTCTTTCTTTCTCTCTCTCTCGCAGTTACCATAGACTATACAGTATATAATTAATGATTGTTTTACCATAAGCTTATTAATCATTAAATATAGTTAGTATTATATTGCATTAAAGTATACGATGGTGATAACAAATGGCAACATATTTATCTAATCTAGTTATTAAACATAGTGCACACATCTATATTTATATAAGGGTACTTATAATAAGTTACATATAATTTATATAGGTTATCATCATTAAAATTTATAATGAATTGAATCCAATAATAAAATAATTTTTATTTATTATATATTTTTATCATATTATATGTTGTAAAACGAAAACATATTTTCGACTTAAAAGTAATATTATTTTCTAAATAGTCAATAATGGTATTAATATACATGTAACTTAAAATTTTATTAATAATTTAATGTCTTATAGATATTAAATTGAATACAACATTCCTTATCATTAACACAATTATTTGCATATAATTTAAGTATAAATACTATTTATTAGACGAGACAATTGGCTATTAGTATAATTAACCTAATAATTAATTAGGTTAACATGTTTATCATGTTAACATGGCTAACATGTTATCAACATGTTTATGATCAAATGTTTATAAAAACAGCCTTGGTGCTATATTTTAAGCTAATATTCATTTTGTTAATAGAATCGCCAATATTAACATAGCTTATTTGCTGATTATTGTCTGCCCTTGTAAGACTATATTTAGCATAATTAATTTATTTTATCATAATCTAGCCATCGATTAGAATTGTTTAAATTTACTTTACATATACAATATAAATGATCATAATAATTTTGCATAAATCCTTGAAAGTTTAGCATTTTATTTTTGATTAATGCACAATCATCGTAAAATGGGAATTTATAATGTTTTAATACACTTATAGTATATATAATTTAATAATATATTTATATTATAATTATTGATTATCATTGTTAAAACATCATTTGGCAATCGATAGTTGCATGATATGGCCAACTGACTCATCGAGTTTAATTCAAATATTGTTGTTAAATTAAATTTACACAACTGAACTAGCTGAATATTATTTGCTAAACCTGTGTTTAATTATACTTTGTTTACAATATAAATTATAAGCTATATCATTTTATTTCAAGTAAATTTAATAGATTTAATTACAATTTCTATACAAAAAAATTAACCATATATTTTGATACATTCTACTCCCGATTATAGTGAGCAAACTATTCAGGCCGTGGGTAACGTGCCGGTGCGTCGACTGTAATATGACCATCGATTCGGACCGATTGGCTACCATCATGAAAATGGCGTTAAGCGATAAACCAAACAATAATAATAATAAAAGCAATAATAATAATCGGGAAATTGTCGGTGAATTTAGCGGCGGTTATCAGTCGACACATTCCGGCGCCAAACGGAAAGCCAGTCGACCAGTGGTTGGCAATGTTGTGAGCCGTAAGAAAAAGGTTAAGTTTGTCCGCAAACATAGTCTGGAGGACTCGAGTGACTGTCACTCCCATATGTCTGACGCGACAATTGTCTACTAGACTATTGCCCGCCGAGTTTGTTATCGTATGGAATATTTTTGTGTTTTTATATCTAAAGTTGTCTGTATTGTTATATTTATAAAAGTCCCTATTAACTTATCATGATTACTAATCATCCTGGTTTATTTGGACAATAATTAATTTACGTTATGTTGGTGTCTGTCTAGCTATTAAATTATATGTTATATTATATATTAATGTTTTTATACCGATTTCTAATCATATCTACCAAATGGTTGTTACTATTCATGTATATAAAAATATTGTTATATATTATTATATATAAAATTATAAACATATTTATTAATATAATTAATTTACTTTTCTCCATAACAATGTATATGTGTTTTTTAATTTTTAACATTTATACTAGCATTAGTTTATCACGTGCAATAAAAGTGGCAGAATTTGTTTTTATGTACTAACTTATTGTAATTAATTAATATCATTAATAAAATAAATTATTGTGTTTTTTTAAATAATAAAATTAATGTTTAATACTTTGAAGCTACAACACTTGCAATAAATAAAATTTTCAAATATAACTGTGTACGATTTAATTATTGGTAACCGGTTTATAATTTAGTTTTATCTGAATTTTATTTTTAATTTTAATAGGTATTTTAATTGAGTTTTAAATTAACTGTTATATGCAAATTACCTATTTAATTCAAATTTAATTATATAAATTTATTGAGGCCAACTAATAGCAAAAATTTAATTGCAAAGGTACTACATTAATAATAATGTAACATTATCATAATGACAATTTAACTTTTTTTGTAATAAGGTTACTTTGCCATAAATTACGTGTATTGAAATACAGGGCATAGAATTATGTACCCACAATGTTGCCAGTGTTTAACATGGACAAATCAATAGCGAGTTTGATATAATTTTGCATGTTGAATGAAAAATCATGTTTGTAAATCGGAAATTGACGGATTTATAAATATACGTGTATTTGATTTGAAAAATGCATAATTTAATATGCGTGTAAATATGTGATAATGATGGTTAGGCTAAATAAATCAAACGATATAGTAAATTCTTATTACCAGATATTGTATTATTTAAACAGTTAAGCTAAACTTGATTTTACTAAAATCTCTCTTTCTCTCTTAATATTAAAATATTACATAAATGTAATATGCAACTTTATATTCATGCCATTTGTCGTCAAGGATACCCAGAGTAATATTGTGTGCAAATCTCTTAAATGTCATAGTGTCATATATAGTTTTCTTATGATTTATTGGCATAGATCTTTTGATAAATTATAAATTAACGTCATATATAGCCACGTGTAAATGCAAACATGTACAATATATTTTATTCTACCAAACTGGAATATTTTAATGCGGTTTTGTAATAAAATATTCTAGTTTTAGTACTTTCTATAATAATTATTTTAATCTAGATTTGTACCAGGTACTTATGCTTTATCATGTCTGAACTTATATATATAATAGAGTACAATGATTCATAAAGATCCGGGTACCTTTAAGGTATGGGATCTTGATTAACCAGATTAAAATACTTGGCAAAGCTCTAAATTATGACATGTACATGTAACTTTAGTTTTAAAACTTTTACAAGGTTGTCTATAATATTTAATTTATGATTTTGAGTTAAATGTTTGAAATAGGTTTATAAGTACTCATTAATTAATGACGCATGCTGGTGACATTAAACAATTATTTATTACCAAGGTTACACCATTTTCCAAAATATAGCGCATTCATCTCGACCAATATGAAAATAATTCCATGTACTGTATAGACATTTATTAGTTAATTTTATTAGTTTTGATTAAGTTGATGTACATAAAAAATATTAGTCAAAGTTTGGATTAAGTCCATATAAACTCGTTTAAATTTTTAAAATTCTGTATTTATAACATTCAACATTATAAATAATTATGATCAAATAGAGTATAAAGTTTATTTTCAATTTATTTGTTACATCGTTAAGTTTTTGGAAAATTTTGCAATGTCAATTATTATCTATGTTGTTTTATGAGCAAATTTTATAACATTAAACTAATACAATTATATTTTTATGAATTTAGTATACGTAGACACGAGAACAGTGCAATACCAAGGTTAAATTTTACTATGAACTAGTGTTACCAACTGTTAAACATCAAATCTAAAAGATATTATAGTATAATGAATATGTTTGTAAATTAGTAAGGTCGATACTTATATTAATGGACAGTATGATGTATTAATATATAAGCGCTAAACTTAAAACTTTTAATAAAATTATATAAATTAATGTAATTAATTTTAACCATTGTACATGTCCATTTGCAATATTTTATTGCCTAGATACTATCAATAATGTATTTTAAATGGCCAGTATTATTAAAATTACTATATGTTGTGAGATATTGCCATCCACCCCTCTAAATACTATATAAATTATTTGTATTATGTTTAATAAGCATATTTCACAATATTAAATATTATTTAATAGTAATAATGATATATTGTTTACGCACTAGATTTAATAAAATATGTTTTATTTAAAAAGTGCATTAGTACTATTAAATAAGTAATGCAATCGTACTCATATCATTATTATGCCCTTACAAGCAATAGTTGGCCACTTAAGTTGCGATATCGGTATTTAATACCACTCATCGTGTAGTTTAGATCAAATAAAATAATTTAACGCTAATATCTCGGGCTGATAGCCCAATGGGCGCCTCTGGCAGGGG